GAGAGAGATTGCTGATGGCCTTCTTCCCCCACGCTGGAAGAAGCAGGATGAAAGGTGTAAGGACTTGTACTACTTCTGCATAATACAGAGAGAGATCTGCTGAACTCTAGTGACTGGTTTATTTCCTTCTGCTGCCCAAGATGGACCTGCTGTAACCTTCACGTTCAGTTGAATTGGAGAAACACTGGTTAATTCTTTTTGCAACATTCCTGCATTTGGTGTTGTCAGGACTTGATGCTGTCTTGTGTTCTAGGAGGATGATGGCTCTACAAACAATCCTGTTGTCACAAATGTATAAATAGGTCAGCAAGAAATGTGACAAAGGCACTCTGATACTGCAGAAACAATAAGCAGCAGGGACAATAGAGTATCTTGAGAAGAAATGTCTTCTGTTGAAGCAAACATCATCTGGAGAATGAAAGAAAGCATTCTAAATTGAGAAATGGCTTTTAAATAGACTTTCTGTGATGCTGCTGCAGGTCTTTGAAGGATGAAGATCATTTGCTGATGTGTTTTATTAATGTTCCTCAGTGTTTTAGAGAAACATGTCTTGTGATTTGACCAAAAATTTATATAAATTTTGATTGCTTGATCTGAAAGAGAGTTTTATCAGCACAAACGGTGGTATTTAGCCTTTTTCCAGCACAGTAGCCTCTGGGTCATGTTGGTTTTAGACTTGAGTGCTGTTGTTCTTCCGATACTCGATACCTGCGTTTTATACAGGGCAACCAAAGCACTGTATTTTGGTCTCTAACAGATTTAGCTGAAGAAAGTCCCACTTTTAATCTTCTGTTGTACCCCTGTACTGGAGTTTACTGTCTGCATTTCAGGTCTGGCTCATTATGATGTGCTTCTTGAACTCAGTTTTATAACCCAAAGAGAGAAACACATGTATTGTTCCACTTGTCTCTGCTGTTGGACAGTAACTTCTGGCAAAGTGGTGAGCATGTAAACTGCCTCAGCCAGCGCAGCAAAATCTGCAAGTGGTCTATGAACGGAAACACTTTGTTACGCAATCTTTTCCTCAGTATGTACTAATAAAAAGAAGCAATTCCTCATGCAATGAGACTGCTCAGTTGGTCCAGATTTTTTTAATCCCTTCATTGGTTGTGAGATCAAACCAGTGCTGCATTATCTTTCTACGCTTGTAGGCAGATTTCTGCTTTTCTGTAACTGCTGTATTTTGGGGGACAAAACAGTGACTAATGCAAGGGCAAAGCTGAAAGAAATGAGGAAAACGTAGTAAAAGCTTGTTTCTTTTAAGAAAGTGATACAGCCTTGTGTACAAACACAGAATGGATTTCTTTGTTTGCAATCCTTACCTGGTTTTGTTTCCAGTTTTTATCCATATTTTGTCAATTTGACCAGTTAAACTTTACACACTACATGCAATATTTTCTTTAGGACATTCTGTCCGGCAATGTGGAGACAAAAAGTCTAAATTTAGATATATTTGATGGAGCATTGTTTTTTTTTATTTTCTTTAAAGTATATTATCAATTCTGAATTAAGAAAAAGGGTATAAAAAACCTTTTTCATATAATGGAAGTGTATTTAAGGAAATGATCAAGTAGGCAGATTGAAAACTGCTAAGACATAATGGAGTAATACAATTAGTAATATGAGGATCTTTAATTGGATCATAATTTGTTTGTCCTGATCTACTAGATTAGTGGCAAGCTTCTCAGAGTGAGTAAGTCCCTCTGACCTCATCTGCAATCTCTGAGCAAGTCATCCTGTGGATATTGTGCCTTCCTTTCTGTGGGGATTCTGACTGGAATTCTGGACTGTTTCCTTAGCTTAACCGTGGCAGTAAAACTGAAAGTAAGTGATTAGAAAACCATTCCAGCAAGTGCTTTCTGATTGACAGCGGTGTAGCATTTCATGCTTTTCTTGCTGATACCAGCCAGGAGGTGTTGGCGGTCCTGCAGGCAAGTGGCTCCAGGCAGCATACTCCCACCAGGATGTTACATGGATGCAGCTAGAGGAAGAGCGGAAAGTGAAACCAAGTGGGTGATACCTAGACTTTGGTAAGCTTGCTTTTCCTTACCAAAGTGACACTGCTGGATCCTGCCACCCTTTCTTGCTCTGGGGACTACATGCAGTTGCCAGAAGTTCAGCTGCTTTCCTGGAAACCCGTGAAGATACTGCTCCAAAGCTGCAGTGCCAGGACGTTGCCATGTGCTTGCTCACACGTCTGTGTTTGAAGCAACACCAAAGGCCTGTTGTCGGTCAGCCTCGCTCCCCGCAGTTGCTCTGGTCACCAGCTGGGTGATTATGTATTGATAAATCTGGGATAATGTTCAAATGCAACTCTGGAGTTGGGTTAAAGTTTAATTAACTAAACCATTGAAGATCATTTGAATACCTCCTCAATTTTATGGGAGCAGTTTCAGCCAGACCTCCTTGTGTACTAAAGAGTTTTCCCTACCAAAGGTCCATACCTTAATATCTCTGTGGGTAGGTAAGATCTTACTGGTCAGTGGAGTGCTAGGTAGTTCTTGTAATCACAAGTACACACGGAATTTGTACAGCACGAAATATCTTCCCTAAACCCCCAACTTTATATCCCTAAATTTCATGTTACTTAATGTGTATAGAAATTGTAATCCAGTAAAACTCGGGGAAATACTGAAATTGCTGTAGTACACTTATTTTCTGCTGCTATATTTTTTAACTTTATTTCAGCTTTAATAAAATGGTATTGTGTGTTTCATATCTTACATTGTTTTTCCTTTTGTCTATCGTCATCTTGCCCACTTCCAAATGAAGGAAAGTACAGAGATGTTTTGGGATGCTGAACAGGAAAATTTAAACGTGTGGGCAAACAAGTGGCAGATTCTCTTTTCTTTTGGGTTTAGTTATGTTAGGAAGATAAATCACCAACCATTACATTTTCTGGCTTGGGTGCCATCCTGGTGGGGAATTAAAGACAGACATTGCTAATGGAGAACTAAAAGTGCTGCACAGAAATGAGCATTTCCTACATCTGCTGTAGTAGAATCCACCAGACGTGGCAGTGTGAATTCCAGATTTGCAAGAAAGGTGCCATTTTTCTATGGCTTTAGCTTTGTAGAGAAGATTACTTGATGAAATTCTGGGCCCCTTTCAAGGATAAGGAGGGAAACTTTGTGAGGATTTAGAGGTGAGCTCTAACTTCTCACTTGTGTCGCTGGCAACATTCCCTTTACTCAGAGGGCTTCACTGTTCTTCAAGATCTTATTCTCTCTATGTTTTGCCAGACATACTGTTGTATCCTCAGAAGACAGCTTTTCTAGTCTTTGCACAGCTGGTTATTTGCAAAGATCTCTGCATTATCTTAAGAGGTGGAAAGATGATCCTGAATCTGATCCTCTCTGCAGGCAGAGCTGCAACGTGTGTAACTGAAGAAGGACAGATGATGATGTTCACGTGCCCTTAGATGAGATTGTAGAGCATCTCAGGTAACTGAGAAGATAGATGGATAGGCCCATGCGAATGTAATGCAGGGTTCTGTGGAACAGGAGTGGGAGGGCTCGGCTGAAACACGATTTGCTTACGCTGGGGATGCTTCCCCAAAATCTCTGTAGCAATATAGTCCTCTCAGAAGTGTTTCTGTTGCTTTTAAGGAAGGTTGTTTTAAGGGCACATTTTACTTTGTATGGCAGGAGTTCAGCACCCCCTGATTCCTGCCTATGGCACTAAGTTTGCTTACAAATAAAGTATTTCAGCCTGTGAGAAGCTAAATTATATACATTTAATAAAGGGGGGTTCCTCTTGAAATTCAGTGGCTTGTGTCATGCAGAGGATCAAAGGAGATCATCAGATAGTCCCTTTTGATCTTTAATGTGTCAGTTCTAGGATACAAATTAATCATGTGGAAGAGAAGCAAAGGAATTCAGGCTAAAAAAGAAAACCATGAAGTCTTAAGATCCACAATAAAGTCTCATGTGCCAACGTAGAGTTACCCATCAAGATCCCTGGGGAGCAATGACTGGCGATACTTTTATGCAGTTCACTTTTTATCTGCTTCATCAGGCAAACCACCAGCACAGATGTCTCATGATGCTCTTGATTGCAAACGAACAGTGGTCTACAGGGTTGCATGTTCAGAGTTTTGTTGCTGACTTCATTGAGACAATGTGTGGATTTACAGTTAGAAGGATGGAAGATATGGCCGTGAGAGGGACACGAGGTGGTGCAAATGGCAGTATTGCAGCCCCTGAATGTTCACAGTAATTAAACAATGTGAGGAATTCTTATTATCCAGTGACTGAATATTACTCAGAAAGTCCTCTTTTGTACTGTAACAACCAAGTGGTCAAGCTTTTGGGATATTTGGCAGATGTGGCACTGAATCTCAGTTCAGACTTGTTGGGGAACCTGGCAGGGATTCATGCCAGAGCTACATATAGCTTAGAATTTTTTAAAATTTTCATCTTTCATTACTAATTTATATTTTTACTGCTACTAGAAGACAGTGGTTTTCTTGTAGTTCCCACGGCATTTCATTTTGTCTCTGTTGAAGCAAAAGAAACAGGGTTCTAGACCCAGCATAGGAGCAGGGGAATAGAAACCTCATTTTTCTTCAGTACCTGGATTCATTATAAGTGGGATGCTTGGTTTTGTGCAGCTCATATTTTGCAAATAAACAGGATAAGTCTTTGTTCTTAAACCATATTTTTTTTCCCATTTGGTATAAGTATGTGTCTTCTCATGCATTGTATGCCCCCAGCAAGTACCACTGAGACATGACTCTTACACCTGGAGCAGCTGTAATTGCTTTCCTGACTGGCAAATGATGCATAACAAAGCAGAAGACTACAAGGATTCTCCAATCTCGTTTTTTAATTTTTATTTTTTAATTACTAATGTGTGTATCACAATGAATGATGACGTCACACAGAATAAATCCCTCGAGTCAGTTTTAACTGATACATAGAAGCTTTTGAAATGGTATATTTTTCTGTCATGGCAAGAGCACAATTATATTGGTATTTTCACAATTCTGTTTCAGATGAGAAGAAGCAGATGGTCGCAAATGTTGAGAAACAGCTCGAAGAAGCGAGGGAACTGGTACGTTTTTCCTTTTCGCATGTTAACTGCAAATTCCTACGGAAAATAATAGGATCATTAGTGTAACAATTAACACACATGATGCCCTAAACCAACAATATATTTGGAAATGAAATGGTATTTTTGAAGTAGTTCCTATTCAAGGATATGAAATATCCAAGAGGAGTCTATTCTTTGTTAATCGTGTGTTAAGTGGTTTAAGGTTTGCATTGCTGCTGTGAGCTATTTCAGGCTGCTACAGGCTTTGAGTTGTGGACGAGGTTCTTTTACTTTAGGAATTGAATTAAATATTTACACACCTGGACTGCTTATTTATTTATTGTAGGACCCATGCATCTACTCCATTTAATCTGATTGTCTTATAAAGCAGTAGACTTTTTTTTTTTTTTCTTTTAGCAAGTGAGGCATAAAGATATTTAGTTGTTTGAGGTCAAGGGGGCAACGGAAGTGTGGGTTACTGATCCAAGAAGAGTATATATGTTAACCAAGCATTAGTTAGTGATCCACACTGACAAAAGAAAGCAATATTTGTTAAGCAACTATGACTTCTGTTTTTTTAAAATTTGTTCCCATTGCATGCTGTCATGTCCTCTGTCTGGATGGAGCGTAAAAGTAAAGTTTTGTAGATATGGGCTAACTGAGCAAAGGTGGTGGTGACGGCTGAGATTGACTTTTTCCCACATAGGCGATATAGTTCCTTGCCTGAAGTTGCTTTTGTTTATTGCTTGCAAATGAGTTTGGTCTATCTACTGTCAGAAATGTTACCTGACTGTTAGAATAGGGAAAGGAAATTAGTTCTCCTCGCCTGAAAGTTCTTATAATTGAGCAACTTGAATTAATGATTTGGTACCTAACTCAACAGGAATATTGAAATTCACTTTTTAAAGTGGCATAGGAAGAAAAAGATCTCTAGACTGTTTGTTGACATCTGTGATCTTTTGGTTTGAGAATTGAATTAGTCTTGTAGACCAGAGCATTGGAATAACATCCAGGAAAGGTGGATCTTGGGATGACTGCACAGCGGATTTACTCCGTGAGGGTGGGAAGGTGCCTCACCTCTTTGAGTTGGTATTCTCAGTGAGAAACATGGTAAAAGTTCTGTCGCGTCTCATGAGGATGTTCTGAAAATATGTTAAGGCCTTTTGGGCACTTTCGTATTCAAACAGCTGAAATAAAGTAAGAATCTAGAAATGTTTTTAATCTCCTTTTCACTACAACTTGACATGGCAAAAAAGCATAGCAGTACAGGGAAATTGTAGCATGGGTGGTCTGATGAAAAATAGTTCAAATTTAGTTTTCTACTCAAAGTAAGATTGGAAGGAGCAGAAATTGAGTTAATGGCTCATTACTTTTCTCCTTATGTCAGATAAAGATTGTCTAAATTTGTATTTATTGTATGATTAAAAAGTGAATCCCGGATCTGTACTTTTATCCTAATGATGATCTCCATTTAATGTACTGGCTTTTCTTTCACGCTTTTGTTTTAGATCTTGTTGCTAATGCTGCCAGACAGGTGCTTAATTCAATTATTGGCTTTAAGCAATTACTTTAACATGTTTGTGATTAATGTCAAAGCTTGGGTTTAAAAATCAATTTGAACCAACCTGCTAATAACAAAACTGATTAAAAAGATTCTCTTTTAAATTAAAGGCTACAGTAGAAAATCAAAATAAACCTAATGCCTTACTATTGTTAATTTTCATACATTGGTTTTTTCATTGTCTTGAGTAGTCCAAGTTAGGTTTAGCTGATTTTGGTTTTTTTCCTACTTGGCTAGGAAATAACACTCCCGTGTATTACAAATATTATTGTAGAGATAATTTATTTACATTGACCAACCCCCGATTGTTTTGAAACACTGTATGCTTTGTTTGGGTAAAATCACTGGTGTAATTGATTTGATCTATGTGCAGAACTGACACCAAAACTTTTCAGGCTCCCCGGCTGTTTTTTCAAGCCAGAGCTGTTGAGTAGGAGATCTCTGGAGAGAAATCCTGTCATTCTGCATCCCGTGTGGAGTATCTAAATGGGATTTTCCCCAGGTTTTTAAGAAAGGTGAATGTTGTGATAACCTTGGGGAAATTCTTTGAATGTAAAACCTAGCATGTGCTGGAATTAGCATTTTTGAGTGAAATTCTGCTTTTCAGAAGAAAACTGTCTCTGTGTTTGCCTTTATGTTTTACGAGGGACACATCACAAAATTGTTGTGTTGCAAGTGCTAGGTTATTCTTAATCTAGACACTTGGCTTTTTACTAATGCAACTAAATTTAGTGTTGTAAATGCTAGGTTATTCGTATTTAGACACTTGTAAATGCTAGGTTATTCGTATTTAGCACAGGTGTCTATTTCAGGTCCAGGACTTTAGAATCAGAACAAAATAACGACGCTTACAAGTTTCATAAAATGCTAGCAACTCTTCAGAGCAATTTCATGTGGAAAAGTTCCTGTGGGAGAGGGAGACTTATTTTGGGGTCTCAGTGGTCAACAGCAGCAGCACTACCTTACTTTGTTGTATTTTTTGGGTGGAAATACCAGTGGCTGCTCTGCTTTATTCTGTATTCAGTGCTGGGAGTGTACTGGATGTTGTTAGAAGCAAACCTACTAGCTTAAGCACCTGAGGAGCCTTAAGGATGGGGCCCGGTTTATGAATCTGGGCAAGAGTTAGGTGCCAAATACTCAGCTTCATCACAGTGGTGGCAAGTTTGAACATAAGCAATAACAGAAGTTTGAGCTTTTGGGTTTTCTGAAGAAAACTTGAGCTTCTAAAGGTGTTCTGAGATATAAGTGCCAGGTTATTTTTAGCTTTTAGTAGAATTTATCTCTATTCTTGTTCGCGTATGTAAAATATGATTTTTATTTGTATGTTTGTATGTAAAATATGACCAATAGTATGAGGCCTGAAAGTGAAGGTGCATGAAACTAGGTTGCATTTACGTTCACACCTGCTTGGACCACTATCTTCTGCGTGACTTTGCATGGAACTTATCAGTCCAGCCACAAAATGTACCTCTTTAATCTCACGATGAAAAAAAAAAAAGGTGTTAAAACATTGGTCAGCCTAAATATGCATGCTTCATCATTGTTCCCTGGACCTTACACTCTCTGATACAATGAATGTTTTGGATTTCATGGACTGCGGTCTGATCCTTGCTGCAAATTCAGTATTCAATGGGAGATGGTTTCATTTTTATATCATAGATAAGAATTGAGACTTCATTAAAATATCCCGAGTTTGCTCATATAATTTTTTATATGTATGAGAAATGTTTTCTATGTTTATAGAATATTAGAGATCAAATATATTGAGATGAAATTGATAAGAAATAAGCCATTAATTCCAGCTATCGGTTTAATTTATAATACCCCTTTGGAAAGTTAAGCCTGAGCCAAAGAACTGGGTAGAACTAGAAATTGCTTTGTATGTTTCAATTTGTTACTGACTATTTAATTAAATTCTGCTTTACAGCTTATTATTGAATATCATTTTGTATGATCAGAATAGATCAGGCTGAATGACTTTTGAGTATCTGGTAATTCCATTGATTAAATTCAGATGCTTTTCTTATGATATGAGGATGAAATTTCAAAGTATAAGCAAACAATTACCTAGGAATAAACTGCAGCCGTCCCTCGTGAAGACCTGTAACTGGTAGCTTGGGACCCTAATTGAAAGGCATTTCTCTTCCAATGCCGTATTGCTTAGCTGAGATCAGTAGGAGGTGAGTAAATATTGTTTCAGGTGCCTAAAGCAACCAAGGAGAGGTATTCTTTTATCTTTTTTAAATAAGTTGGAAAGATTTTAAAAGGCAGGTAAGGGATTCCTCAGCTGTGCAAAATAGAATTCCCGAGCAGACAGCACCATGTAGAGGAGGCTCCATGACCCAGTGGGCAAGTAATTAGCAGGCAGCTCAGCCCTGGTTTATAACTCCTTTTTGATTTTCTGTGCCTCTGTGCCATATTCTTGTGTTTCAGGTCCCTTAGTATTCTACATGGCAAGAATAAATAGAAAAAGCTTTTGAAGGATATATTCTCTGATGTTTTCATGCATTCAACTGTGTACAAGTTCTTGAATAGTATTTTCATTAAACTCTGAAATTCAGCTATTTAATATATCCACATACAGATTTGGGATGTAGATTTAGGCAGTCAGTTCAGGCTTTCTAATCCTGCTGAGTAAGCAGTATATGAAAGAACAAGAATTATTTTATTAAACTTAGAGGCTGGTGGTAAATAAAACTTTAAACGTATATATATGCATACACACATGTATATACACATTTGTGTGCATAAAAATAAATAAAATACCTCTTTCAGCCAAGGGTTTCCAAAACCACACAGCTAGACCGAGGTAGGCATTCTTTTGAACTCTGCTTATTTGCAGGAAGTTATTTAACCTCAGTTTTACTATTTTCTTGTAATAAAATGTATTGATCACATTTCGATTTTAACACCAGAAATGTTTGACTAGAATCATTCCTTCCAAGTGTTAATAATATGAATTCTGTCACTTGTTTGTTGACTTCAGGCTGTGTAAAGATTTTGATTAAGTTTTTGTACATTGCAGAATAAACAAAATTTTTCTTGATAAATAAGGCATATTTCTAAATATTTGTGAACAATTTAGGTAAATTCATCCTTGTTTTAATTACCCTTTTGATTTACTTGGCTCTTCTTTATTTTTACTTGCTAGCTTGAGCAGATGGAACTTGAAGTTCGAGAGATCCCAGCTCAAAGCCGTGGAATGTACAGCAGTCGAATGAGAAGCTACAAACAAGAAATGGGAAAACTTGAAGCTGATTTCGTGAGTTTTTAACATATTACATAGAGAAAGCATCTATGAGAATTTTTTCAATATAATAATGCAGTTATTCAGGCAACTGAGAGGGTATTTTGACTAGTGCGAGAGATGAGTTCTGTGTGTATCTAGTTGTGTTTATGGACAGATGAAAACCAAGCTGGGGGAGAGAAGCTTTTCTTTTTGTAGCACTTTCATACCAATATTCGCATTGCCAGCCTTCTGTCCCTTTGCCCTGGATCTGAATTGTTTCTGTGCCGTTAAACATTGTGAGTGTTGATGCTGTAGGCAAAACAGTCAGCTTTTAATCCTATTTCTCAAGGAATGACTGGTAGAACATCAGAATTGATACCTAAATTATAACATAAGTATACCGAGTGGAAAATAATGGTTCGTTTAAGACAGCTTGTACTCGTGTAGGCAGCAACATGAAAAGCAATATAATCTCCAATACGTGGAATTCTTGAATGTAGTTTCTCTCATGTGTGCTTCGTTTCTTAGTCTCTGTGATTTCTTTTCCATTGCACTTAGATTCTTCTTGGCTTTTGTACAAATTGGTTATAAATACTACATTTTTCAAATAATGCATGCAAACTAACAAGATTCCCTTGTCTAGGGGCTTCTGCTACAGTTATCAGTCCTTTTTTGTGACTAGGATTTGCACTGAATAGATTTACATAGAGACAAAACTGTTTCCTCTAAAATCCTGAAAAAGTTCAAAGGGATTGCAAAGTGTAGGAAAATGCTATGTTAATTGGCAGCAGCTCAATTCCTCCAGGGTGGGGAGAAAGAAATAACTAGTGGCAGTATTTTCCATTCACTGGAGAACTGTGAATTTTCTCGGGTTGCTGGCAGCAGTTTATTCCTCCAGGGGAGGGGAGTCAAAGTTTATACCTGCAGCCAGGAAATCCAGCTGACTGTCACTCCTCTGTGCTTCTGCCAAGTTGAGCAGTCGCACAAAAATGTATTAGAAGATGGTTGCAATTTCGTAAAGTTTGAGGAATATCAGGGTAAAAAAAAACTTGCATCAGAATTTTGAGACTATCTCATGCTGTTCTGCTGTAGGAAGTGTGTATGGCCCTCCTGCCTAAACAGCGGCTTCCAATAGAGAGTGATTTCTGGACCAGGAGCGAATGCTGTTTTTCTTCTCAGATGTGGGAGAATTTGCTGTCAGTACATATTTGTTGCTGGCCTGTTTCTCTATGTAGGCAGAAGTGGGGAATTGGTACTTCCATATTCCGAGGCAATAGGGAATGGGAGAGTTCGGAACTGGGCACTCTTTATGGAAGAGGAGAAATGAGTTTATGTGGAAGAAATGGGTCAGACCACTAGGAGTTACGTGGTTGGAAGAACATAATTTTGTGCTCCAAGCAAAAGAGCAGAAACAAGATGAGAAGGAGGAAGGAACAGATCGTAATAATGGGAAAAAAAACCCCAACAGCCCAAACCCCAAGGATGGCATTCAGGAGAAGATCAAGAAAAGGAAGTGGAGTGAAGGATGGAACAACTAACTGAAAGAAAACAACTATGCTTGGAAAAATCTCAGTTATAGAGAAAATAGCATTGTTACAACTAAATTCCCTACATAATTCCAGTTTCTAAGTACTAACATTTTTTTAAGTTTCTATGTGAGGGTTTGAGAATCTTTTTGGATTATTCTCCAGTCAAATAGCAACTTGTTAGAAACTATATAACAAAAAGATTCAATTGTGAGTTCAAAGAGGGAAAAGGAAGAAGGAAAGGAAATATTATTTTGAGTCTGTAAGCTGCAGGGCCATGGAAGGTAGGAAGTTGAAAATATTTGCTGAAATGAAAGTGCTTTTGCGTGTTCTGCCGGAACATTATCCTCAATGAGTTATGACCTTTTTGACTGTAAGCAAAGCATATAGACTTTATGTAAGAGCTTTAGTAGACCTTTAGGGAAAGCAGATCTAAGTACTTTTAAAATTAATTCACTTTTATAGATGAAGGGAAATTCCTAACTGGAAATGATACTGGCAATTTCAGGTTATGATCAGCTTACATGTTTGCTGGTCAAAGTTCTTGGCTCTTCCAAAAGGCACACAGATGTGAGCTTGCAAAGTTACGTGATACTTTTTGTAAATGAAGTTGGAATCTCAGCTGGATCCCACTATATTTGGCTTGGCCTTTCTTCCCGCGTGAAGTAGCACGTGTGCTGAGCAAGGAACGTTTCTCAATCATCTTCAAGTGTGTATTTCATTTTAAAGAAATCATGTCTGTGATGAATTGAAAAAATTACATACCTCAGTATATAGTCTTTTTCAGTAAGTTCTATATTTCAAACATGAAGTGAATGCAGAACTGGCACTGGTAGTTTTTCTTTTAGATTCATCATCATAACCACGAGTTTTGATCTTGTGGTTATTTGCATGCCTTATAGCGTCTTGAAAATTTACCCTTACCCAAGCAGTTACAGAAAACAGCGACATATTTAAAACTTAGGAGAAGGAAACATGAGGTGTGTGGACTGTCCGGTCTTTACTTGCAGGATGGACAGCACAAAGGTTTATTTGTGACGTGTAATATGTAATTGGTGAGTTTATTTGATCTTGGGCAGTATATGTAATAATGACAAAACATTGGGATATCACTTCAAGATTATTTGCTACATACTATGGCATCTTAATGAATGAGTGGCTTTTACTATGCACTTTACTATGCCAGAAGTATATTCTGAAAAATACAGATTTAAGCTTGATTGAGCTGTACTTTGAAAAGTTACTCCAAACATGGCTTGTTAGTCTCTAACTTTCTAATCAAATAGGAACAAGTTGTAAATAGGAGATTTATTTCCCCTCATTGCTAATCCTTGTTATCTTGAGCCACGGCTGCAGTTAGTTATCAGTGCTCTGCGTGCGTGGAGGCAATGACATCTGTATTGCACACGGGTTGTTGGTAACCCACTAATTGCATTAATGCATATCTGAGGAGAAAAACCCATCATGTTCCATCTTGGCCCTCCCTCTTGGAGAGGAACGGTGGTAATGAAAAAAAGAACAGCTCAATTTTGTCATTAAAAGTACTCAGATAGCACAGCACTGAATATGGATGGGAAAATTAACAAAGCAAGCATTGCACCTCAGCTTAAGGCAGCAGCGGTTTCTGATGCTTACCCCAGTGCTGTGCTGGCTTCCGTGGGCAGCAGATGCCCGGGGAGAAACGTAAGAATAAGGCGAGCATAAAATGATACTTCTTAGCAAAAAAAGCTCAAAAGGCAAAGTTTCGGGCTTGCTTACTGTGTGTGATAAACGTATCAAAACAGAATAAAACCGCTAAACCTATGCCGTCTTTTTGAACTTGCAGATGTAAATCTTGATTTTATTATCCTACTTTCATTAGTTTATACCACTGTTGCGTCTTTATAGCGGGATTTCATCCCTATGAGGTCAGAAAGCCGTAGTCCCAACCGTGGGGTGGCCGTGGGGCTGCCCGGGTGGCAGAGACTGGGCTAAGGGCTCTATCTTGTGGCCCGAAGTGGAGTTGCAGATCACGTACCTGTGCTTTCTGGGTTGATTACCGTCTTGGGACCGCCTGCTAATGAGTTACTGAAATTTAAAACAATCTTCCTATGAGTAGGTATTTTTCCTGCGCCTACCGATGCACCATTACGTGGTTTAAGCGTGTAAATATTTTGTTTGTGACTCTTTCAGATGTAGAATGTCTCTGGTGCCTGTCTGTGTGAAGTAAGTTCTAAATGCAAAAAAAAGCCTTCAATTTCATTGTAGTCTTTTAAATACATGGACTATAGGTGTTGATTTTCTTTTCAAATTAAGCATTTTTTGTTAATTGTTACCTGAAAATAGCCAGTGGTCTTTAAACAGCGGGGATAGGCAGTGGTAAAAGGCTTTCCAGATTTTATAAACATACTTTGACCTGAATCTATCCCAGCTCATGTGAAACTGTAATGATATAAACTTAGCAAATATGAGGTTATCTGCTGGAATTTGTATTCCCCACAAGGATTCCATGTGCTGGGTCAATGTCAGGGCACCATTAAAAAGGAAAAAAAAAACCCAAAATGGTCATTTTCCTGAAAAGCTTACAGCTGAAGTGGGAGGCATTCAAATAGGTGGGGAAATATAAAAATCCAGTAAGACCATATTACACAGTAATATTAGTATTACAAAAATGAGTACTACATAATCAGTGCTGAAAGTGGGATGTCAACAAGAAAAATAGTCATTAAATAGAGGAGGTGACATAGGAACTGTTCCTATTCTGTCATGGCAGCACAGAGGCAAATTTTACAGGTAACATTTGTTATCAATCCAAGAGACAGAACTCATTCCTTTTAAAGACTCAGAGTTGGTACTGATTTTGGTTACTCTGACCTTCAAATTTAAAGAAAAAAAAAAAAAAGGAGGGGGGAGAAGTCACAGATTATATAGACAGGTACGTTGTATAAAACTTGACTTTAACATTTAACAATAGCTTCAGTTCAGTCAATAGTGAAGATATACACTTTTTGTACCTCGTACAGGTTCTGTTTAAGATCGTTGTTAAAATGGCAACTGCTCTTAAGCTTTAAAAACACTTAAGGAGATAAGCAATGGAATTTCATTTGATAAAGTTAGCTCTTTTGTGTGACTCTGAAGTACCACCTGAGTCCAGAAGCTTACCTCAACAACTGCTACAGCTGCATCAGTTGTATTCTGGCTGCTTTTTGCAAATACTGCTGCCCTTATTTCACGTTCAGTTACCTACTGAGATAAATACTCATATGGCTATAAGCCTAATGAATGATATTTGTCAAATGATAAGTTAGTGGACTGCATCTTTATGGCTAGAGTCTTCCCTAGCTTTCCAGTTTGAGCTAAAAGTTTGGAGACTTAACTGTTGCTGCTGGATTATTTTGATTTATAAAGCAAAGCATTATTGCTTTATAGTTACAAAAGCATAAACCACATGCGGGACAGATGTGTATATCTTCATAGTTGTATCCCAATGACATTATTAAAAACGGGGAACCTGCCACGTGTACATGT